TTGTATTACTTGTCCATTGAGACTTTAAAAATGATGAAGCTATTGAAAATGAATTGCTATTATAGACGTGAACACCATTTTGTCTATTTAATGAAAATAGGTATTATCTCCATTTGTGGATGAGTTTGGGTAGAATGAAATCTAATAGGCTTGCTTAGTCGGGTTCACTCGGTTGAACATCGGTCGTGCTCCTCGGTTTTGGGGCGTGACATTACAAATCACGACCGCACGGACAACTCACGTGCCAATATCATTAGTACCTCATATCTACATGGACAACTCACGTGCTAAGAGAGGGATAATATCTCATAGCCGCACAGATAATTCACGTGCCAATAGTAAAACTCTCACACGGAAGGCAAGTATACGATAATACATGTAAATGATCAATAAACATCAAGGTTCATCTTCTTAGACTGATATAAGTGACTAATTACGGTGTATGCTTGTGGAAGTGTTTTATCACGACTCGAGTCAACAAGTAAGATCAGAGACAACGAATGGTACATAGGAAACAACACAACAAAACGTAAAATGCATGACTCACACAAGGTAAGCACACCACTACACAAATATTATCAACAGCAATGCCCTCAGGCCATCATAAGTCATCACAAATCATCCCCGACATAGCCCCCTTTGTCTCGTCACGTGCGCAACAATAAAATGAATGCCCGCCTTGTCTCGCCACACGCTCATAATAATACTCCCACCTTGTCTCGTCACGTGCGCAAACCCACATATATAGCCTTCCTTGTCATGCCGCATGTACAAATATTAATAATAACAATAGCACAGAAAACTCAATAATGGTTTCAAATAAGGATAACCCAACAATGAGAGAGATAATGGGTAACAAAGATATTGAATGAGAATAACTCAACAATAGGAGAGACACATGTAACAATGATTTCAGATAAAAATAACTCGATAATAGGAGAGATAACACGTAGCAATGATTTTAAATAAGAATAACTCAACAATAAGAGAGATAGCATGTAACAGTGAATTTCAAGTAAGGATAACTTACAATGGAAGAGATAACATGTAATATTGATTTCAAATAAGGATAGATCAACAATGGAAGAGATAACACGGCAATAAAAGATGCAACAACTTCAATTAAAGCATATAAGAGTATATTTGGCAATAAAGGGTAGAACATAAACTAATCAACTTCAAATGAGGCATGTAAGGGTAAATTTAGCAATGGAGGATATAACATGATAAGGCAACTTCATTTTAATGTGCATAAGAAACCTAAGAGTCTAAAATGGTCAAATTTTCACATATAAGTCGTGTACGCATTCTTCACCTCGTGTACACGTCTTTCACGTAGTTCAAACAGTGCAAAAAAATCAATCCCTACGAAATAGTTTTTCCACACAATGTTAGGCAAGATACTTACCTCAAATGCCTTCAATTAATACTCTAAAATAGCTTTTCCTTTACAATTCACCTCCACTCGGCTCAAATCTAACCAAAATCGACTTAATAACATCAAACAACGCAAGATAAATCAATTCTAATAAATAAAGCTATGATCTTTACAAAATTCCTCAAAAGCCAACTCCGGACTCACCCGGTCAAAATTTGGGTCCAATAGTAGATTTCGACTACCCATAACCCCACGAGTTCATATATGTGATTAGTTTCAAAACCCGAGTCCAAACTGACTCTCAAAATGCAAATTCTTATTTTTCAAACACTTGACAAAGTTTCACAAATTTTCACTTTGATTGTCACAATTTTGATGTTAAAACTCACATATAATCATGTAAAATAGTCATAAATTGAACAAAATCGCTTACCCAATAATTTTAGATAAAAATCCCTTTTCAAAATTATCTCCTACCGAGTCTATGGTTCAAAAATATGAAAATGAGACTAAAAATCTTGTCCCTCAACTTTTTGTCTAGGCGCAGGTGTCGCAAATGCGACCTGGGGTTCGCAAATGCGAACCCCGCAAATGCGAAGAAATTATCGCAAAAGCGAAACTCTTCTCATCCCTGTTGTCATCGCAAATGCGGTGGCTGGTTCGCAAATGCGAACATTGGACCATCGCAAAAGTGATAAGGATGATCGCAAATGCGATCACTCCTAAGCCCAGCTCCCCTTCAGTTAGGCGCTGTCACGGCACCGATGAGAATTTGAGTCATGATAGTGTCCATCTTTTAAAACAAACTAATAAGAAATAGTGTCAATCTTTTTTAAACAAAGGGAGCAATTATTAAGGTATTGTACTAAGTTTCATTTATGATACAAGATCAAAAAATCATTAAATTTCAAATCAAATGTAATCAAGTCTAATTAGCATCATTTTCCCTTTTTGTGATAAAGTGAGTACTACTCGATCTGTTCCAATTTATGTGAACTTGTTTGATTGGACAAGGAGTTTAAGGAAATATGAAAACTTTTGAAATTTGTGGTCCTAAACAAGTCAGAAAGGGATCCAGAATATTTGTGTGGTTATAAAAGGTTCTCATTAAGGGTAAAATTGAAAGTTCAAGCTAAATTATTTCCAAATTTAGAAATTGGTCATTTTTTTTTTGGAACAGACCAAAAAGAAATAGGTTCATATAAACTGGAATGGAAGGAGTGGTATAAAATTTGAACTAGATCCCAAAAAACATGCGGCAGGCTAGTACTGGTGCTTTTGGTAATGCTTTTGGAATTTTTACACAAATAACCCGTCATATTCATTATTTATTTTTTCTAGCCATATACATTCATTATATATAATTATACCTATATAATACATAAATTATTTATATATTATACCTTCACCAGCTATTTTTAGTTTAAGCAATTTGGTTGGGCGGCTATTTAGGTTAGTTCTTCAATGTTTTTCCACACTACAAGAGAATCAATCCACATAATTTATTACATTCCCTTCAAAATGTTACTCTTTTACATGGTTGGTAATCTCGCTAATAATGTCTTTTTCTTCTGAAAGTTCAAACTTCTGAGAAAACTCTTTATTGCACCTTAAATGATATTTCTAAGGCGTGCTACCTTTTATTAAGTGACTAGTAATCACTATTCTTTCTTCTTGAGATATCTTGTGATTGTAAGATCTCCAATAACTATAAGGGATTATTACATATATATTGGAATCAAGGTGAGTAACGTTTTTTCTATATAAATATTTGCTATTGATTATTACTTCTTCACTCGTACATAGTCTCTTTCGTATCAAAAAGGCAATCATTTGTTTTGACAAAAGAAGATTTAAACGTAATCAATCGTTTATTATCAAGTACTCTCCATTTTTCTTTTTCTTTGGTTGAACAATCAGTTGTTAGAATAGTAATCCTATTATCATAGTACCTAAAATGTTAGGAGGACTTCATAATGCATGTGCAATTGAGCCCAAACGTATTCTTTTTATTGTAGTTCAGTTTGGTTAAGTCTAAACTTAAATGACATTAACTCACATTTTTAGAATAAAATTCAAACGTTTAAAATCACCTGAACTATAGAAATATTTAATGATAAATAAATTGCTTTTAAACTCTGAAGAACAATCATAATTTTTACTTTTCAAGTCGAAAATTAGAACAATCGGTTTAGATTCATCCGTTAACGAAAAAGAACATGAACGATCTGGAATGTTACTTTTTAAATAATACGTAAATCAACATAAGATATTATCTTTGGCTTGAATTCAATTTGGATTTAACAAATTAACTTGAAAAATTATAATCACTAAAATACAATATACGTACTATCACTATCAGAACGACATGTTTTCGCATGAGCAAACCTTGCCAAAAATTCTCTACTTATTTTTTCTTTCAATTCAAATAACGACATGACTATGACGTTCCATGGTAAAGTGGCAATAATTGTCCTTTTGTTCGTGGTGTATCTTGATTCTAAGATTTAGTTCACCTCAAATAACGACAAGGTAACTTTAAGTAATTGTTTGAATTAAAGGAGTGACTAGTGGAGATTTTTCGTGTTAAAGAGTAGTTTTGCGAAGAATTCCATTTAACCATTGCGTATTAATTATTCACAATGATGCTTAACCTTTTCTCAGCTTTTTATATCCGCGGTGCTTAACCTATTTGTAATGAGTTGTTGGAGACAACAATTAAATACTAGTATATGTTTTTAATGTTGTAAATGGCGAATGATATGTTTGAAACGAAGACAAGTCAATATCAAATGTTCAATGCTTTTGTTAGTACATTCGTCAACAGTCGGTTGCTATACAACTGTATTCAGTTCTTTTCTTTTACTTCGATAATGAACTACTATTGCTATGCACCATAAATACCCAAAAAAAACAAAACAATTTTATCAGTACCATATAAAAAAAATATGAAGGCGCTGTTTTGTGTATTCTTTCAGGTTTCAAGGGGCAGCGGAAGGATAACACAACTCATTAATTGGATAAAATTGCAGTCTTATCTCATAAATCCCCCAGTTAATCAATAATCAACAGGGAGTAGATAACATACACATGCATGGGCAAAACTGGGGATTTTTTGCAGCTGCAAACCATTATTATCTACATCCTCCAAATCAATCTGGCAAATTTAGCGTAGAATGGATAATCTTAGACCTATAAACCAGAGATACACCCTTAAATGGTCTTAATGCAACTTTCAAGGGCAGTGCGAATGGTTTATTTAAGCACCTGTTAATATCCCAGTTCAGAAGCATATTGAGGCAAGCTCGACCAACCAGTTTAAACACTTGGCTGTGTAAGATCTCAATCTTCCATATAAACCAAAAAAATAAAGTACAACGAAACAAATACCACAACAGAAAACAGCAAGAGACCGTAAAAATTAACCTCCCTGGTTGTAGCTCAGCAATCATTGGACAACAATGGATTATCTTATCATTTTACAATATCGTAAGGCGAAACATTGATGCAATATTTCCCCCGTGAGCCATAAACTTCTTCCGCTACATGGGTTCACAGCGTTGGCACAAACTTCCCAGTAAAAGCACAAATAACTGCATGACTAGTTATAACAGCAACCAGCTGCAAAAAAAAACATAAATAAAGGCATTCTATACATATTCAAGCTGGTAAAAAGGAGGTTCGTCGACTTTCTTTCTTTGTGATCTTGGTTTTACTCTCTACAAGAAATGTACAAACTCTCATGAAGAACAATAAAATGAGTATGGACTAAAAGGACCAATCTGTGAAAATCAAGTGTTAAGGGAAAAAATCAGAACAAACAACAGAAGCTTTGATCACTAAATAGAAGTGAGAACTATATCGAAGGAAAAATAAACAGTGCAGAAACCAGTCACTTTCACATGCTCCCAGCTCTGCCAGGAGTAGTTTTGGATGACTTGAACTTTGAAATGTCAACAAGATCCCCAAATAGTTTGTCTTCCGGCTTTGAGGGCTTTCCAGATGGTACATATGAAGGAGTTGAAACTGGATAGGACGAATTATTTAGGACGCCATCATCCCTCACGGAGAGCCCAGACATTCTCTGGTTAAGAAATTGAGTGTTCTGTGGTTGGGCATAACCGTAGCCATAACCAGCCATTTGGTTGCCATACATTTGCTGAGAATACATATAACCCATCTGCCCAGATGGCATTTGTTGTGGAAACATACCCATCAATTGCCCACCTTGCATTGGTTGAGGTGACAAGCCTACCATCTGATTGCTTTGCATAGTCTGGTTCAGCATGGCGGGGTGTCCACCAGTGATCTGATGTGCATACATACCATGGGCATATGAACCACCAGCTAATTGCTGGCTGTTAGCTGCCACCAGCTGATTATTTTGCATTGATAAAGCATTTGGACTACCAGCCATTAGCTGATTGTTGTGCATTGGTAGAGCATGTGGACTACCTGGCAACAACTGATTATTTTGCATTGGTTGAGCATGAGGATTCCCTACCATTTGGCCATTCTCAGCTGCCTCAGCTTCCCATGGAGGTGGTGGAAAAGAACTACTGCTTTGACCACCTAATCAGGAATTGGACTAGCACTACGTGAGTAACTATTCAGAAACTCAATGAGCAAGACGGGGCTTAGAATTCAGGCAATCCATAAGACTTCATCAGAAATTGCAAGGGGTTTTACACGTGACAGATATCAGTTTCAAACCTATGCCTCTATGCAAGCATAACTCGTATGAGTGTTCGCTAATATTAAAAATACTCCCACCATTCCAATTTTTATGGCACTATATAATTATTAGTCCGTTCCAAAAAGATTGGCACCTTTCTAAATTTGGAAACAATTTAACTTAAACTTCTCATATTACCCACAGTGAGAAGTTTTAGATGTTATGTTTAAGACCACAACTTTCAAAAGTTTCATGACCACAATAAATATTATGGCATGTTTAAGATCACAAGTTTTAAAAGTTATCATTTTTTTCTTAAACTTTCTTACCAGTCAAATTATGCCAAACAAATTGGAACTTAGGGAGTAGTTGCTAGGTCTATTCAGATAATAGACAGACATATAACAGGGAGGACAAAATTTGATCTACAGGACACATTTCCAACTGTATACGCAAAAAGAATGCAGGCAGAATGACAAAGAAATGCACCATAAACCGGAGAAGATGACTGCTGTTGCTGTGATATCTGTCCGTTCCACGCCGCATTAGAGCCTTGTGTATAGGTTGTTACAGGGGCACTTCCATTTGGGTACAAAGATGGCTGGGTAGGATTGAAACTCTGTTGTTGAAACTGAGGGGATGAAGGATGCGTCTGCCCAACTGAATATAGAGATTGTGAGTTGCTGGGTGGTGAAAACATGTCAACAAGAGCAAGGGCATTCTGCTGTGAAACAGGACTTGCAGGCTGAGGTTCTCCACCAACAGGAACAAGAGCCAGTGCATCCGCAGCCGTAGGCAAGCTAAAGTCATCTCCACTCAGAAGATCAATTTTCGGGCCAACATTTGCTGTTGTTGATGGACTGCTAGCTGATGGAGGAGCTGGAAGAAGCAACTGTGTCCCTAAGCTAGTACTTGAAGTAGATCTGAAAAGCACACCAAGTGACTTAGATGACAAAATTGGTTCACATCTAACTAAGACTCAAAAACTAAAATGAATGCCCAGGATTCCCATCATTTTCCCCCTTTTCTTTGGGGGAAGGGGAGGTAAAAGCATATTAAAAGTACAATCACCTAGCACTGAATAGGAAAATGCTTGCTCGGTAATTCTCCATCACTCTTGTAATAGCAGACGACTAAGGACTTCTGAACCTTGATAAAATCCTAATCTAATTGATAGTAACTTAAGGTCACTATTTTTAGGCAATTAACAATTTAAGATATCAATCTAGAAAATCAATGTATACTTTTTTAAGCTATAAGCTTTCTCATATACTTAACCAATCATCATTCATTTTGCTAACCAAAAACCAATCATCAAAAGAAACTGAAAATCAAGCATATTGACTGGGTTTTTNATTGAACTGAATCAGATTTTGGTTTTTCCACTTTAACAGAAGTTCCTGCAGCAATAGCTTCATGTTTGGCCAATACACGCTGCAATTCATCATTCAGCGCTAGCCCTTGACAAAGCAGTGATTCATCCCTGCATCAAGTGAATGTAAGGATCCACAGGAATCACAACCAGATGGTGCATAATAAAGATGGAAGAGCATAGAGGAATGATTTGGAGAGAAAAATATCATGGTCAGTCCAGTACATTTGTAATGCTTGATCAACTATTGTTCTCCTAACTAAAGTACTAGAACTTTTACTGCAAAAATAACTGACAGCACATGGCACTAAAAATGTTCAGCCTTTAGTTTTATTCCCAGTAACGACTTACCCAACTCTTAAACAGATACTTACTTAATTGACATGATTTTTACTTCATATGATTACTAAGTTATAGTAGCTTTTTAAATCTTTATCCAAATAATAAGTGTTTGATTTGAGTTATATTCTATTGCATAACATTTTTTTCTCACTTCATTAGCGCCTTTCTTCACTAATAACCCCCACAATTTGATTGTTTTTTGTGCTTAAAGTCCCACCAGGCCCTGGCACTTTTCTACACTTTTGCCTTTGACACTTACATTATCAAAAGGCCATGAAGTAATTGTTATCACATACCTGTTCCACCACTCCCACCAGTTGGAGTCGTGAAGTGCCTATCAAATTAGAGAATCCCAAAGACTATCAACACTATAAATTGTGTGATTATCTCACCTAAAAGCTTAAACTATTGAATAGCGCATTTTTACTTAATGAAGTCCTCAACACGCCCCGTTAGGTGCGAAACTGATTCTTATTCATGAGCCAAGCACATGAAAAAATTTCTTGATAATAGGTGTTGGTGAGACTCGGAACCAGAACCTTTGCCTGCTCTGATACCAGATTGAAGCGTGTGACCATTTCACCTAAAAGTTTAAGCTTTTAGAGAGAGCACACTTTATTTACTTAATTATTTCCTCAAGAAGCACCATGTATAACAAACTAATTATGACACATCTATGTCCTAGCAAGTGTGTTTTCCTAGTCCATTCAAAACTTTAAAGTTGAATTAACTGACACCCTGTTACAGAGGCCATTTCCTTCTTAAGAGGATGATGTGGGCTAGTCGTACTCTATAGCGAGGGGTATAATTAACAGTCAACATGTGATAGGGGTTTCTCTGCTTCCAAAAACCTAAACGGTTGATCCAACCTAATGATCCAACCTAACCAATCGTGTTGTTTTATTTGGTTCAGTTAACACAACTTTCTCAGATTTGATTCTGAAATTTTAGTCGTTTGGAGCATCTGTTGAGCCCATGGTATTCAGAAATCTAGTTCCTCTCCCAATCAGCTCCACTTCATCTATATGAATATAGTACCAACAACAACTAAAATTTTGACAAATCTATCAAGATATCTCGAGAAAGGCACTTAATGAGAAGTGGTCAAGAGTAAAACAAGGCCTTACGTAGTCGAGTTTACAAGGTGTACCACTCTTTGCTTGTAGGTACGACATTGTTCCACCAAATCAACAATCACCTCTTGTTTCAGTCCCTGTAACCCGACAGGTAAATACATTCTCAGAGAACAAAGAACGTCAACTCAGCCAAAAAAGACAGATAAAATTTCAACCAAAAATAAGATAAAAACCAAAGTTAGGAACGTTCAACCCCAAATACCCAGCACTCTACTTAGAGGTAAATATTTCTCTACAACTGGCCTGCCCAATTTGCATCCGAGTAAGAATATCTTAATTGTTGAATGATACCCTGAATAGATGATATAAACAAGACTCTACCTCTTTGTTTTCCGGATCTAATGCACTCAGCATTTCAGCAAGGACATCCATGATACCACGTGCATTCTGGATCTCTGTCAAGCTAGCAACAGAAAAAGAAGACAATGAACATTAACTACCAAAGCAAGCCTAGCAGACGAAAGATATGCAATAAAGATATCAGGTGTCATTCACCAGCAGCTGCAAATCATCCCCCCACCCCCCCCAGGAAACAGAAATGTCTCATCCACCATAACAATATAATATGGATGGGGGTATAACACACAAGTTTGTGTGAAGATTGGCATACAGATTGCAGATTCAGAAGTAAAGAGAAAGAAATCATAGCAAAATGAATTAAAAGTCTAACTTCATTCCAGAGTTAGAAATAAAGATTCACCTCAAGGTTGGATATTCAGCCTCTGCAGAAGACTCAGCTGCTTCCTGTCCGGATTCAGGATTCCGTAGATTCTGTGGGTATGAAGCCAGTGGATGTGTTTGGGGGGGTGTGAACACTGGGGCTGATCTCTCAGATCTCTGAGGGAATACAGCTCCAATGCGCTGAAATGTAAAGCAATATGTCTAAAACTCCATTTTGAGAAGGAAAGGTGATGCTAAAGGAATAACATGACATGACTAACTGTGAATTAACAAACTACATGTGGTGGAAGCTGGAAGTTTGGTTCAATAAGCATCTGTATTGGAATTTTAGCGACCATTGTACTGTTTGGAGATATGCAGTCCCCCAACAACTTCTGCAACTGGGCCCTATACCAATTAGTTGCTGATGGGGTGATCTTTTAGAAAACTAAACTATCATACTCATCAAAAGACCCAGTTTCTTTTCCAAATTGTTTTAAGACATATTAATGACATTAACTATTATCAAATGATGCAGATACACAAATTAAAACCAGTAAGAAGAATTACCAGCAACTCCTGGTATGCTCCATAAAATTGTGGGTATCTTGCCCTTGGTCCTCCAAATGCTTCTTGCCATGTGTCTATCAAAATTAATACTTTTTCCTTGACATGCAAGTCGGGTTGCTGTTACAAAACAGTATATATAGATGCCTTAACTTTATGAAGAGAGAAAAACGTCCAAAAAAGACATACGGGAGTTTGAGAGTCGGCAAGAAGTCACCTTCTTTTTTACAATTTTCACCATCTCATGAAGGAGATCTTTCTCAGCAACATGCATATGGACAATATCCCCACAATTCTTCACAATTGTTTCCAACAGCTGAAAAATGGAAAGTCAAATTATCTAATGTCCAGTCAACTTTTTGCTTTGATAGGCTGGAGTTCTGACTTTTGAGCTTAAAAGAAGGTTGATTTCGGTAATCCTTTATGGATTTAGAATCTTCTTTCTTTATTGTTTTATTGATCTTTAGAATCATAAAAAGATAACATGAAATTTCAGACTCTCATAAAGGTCACAGTGCTAAAGAAGCAAAAAAGTCTCACGAAGCATGAAGATATGGAAAACCATTCCCATTTGTATATTCTGGACCACATGGCTGGAAAGAAACAACGCTTACTTTGAAGGAAAGAGAAGCCATATATAAGATAAAAAGCAAACTCTCACAGTTCCGAGCCTCCAACAACTTCTTCGTGAGGAAAGGTACTTCTTTTGGTTTGAATAGGGGGTTGTCCTTTTTTTGGTTGAAGTGGCCACGATTTTGGTCGTAGTCAGTTTAAACCCATAAACCCAGGTCCACTAGTATTTTTGGTGTAAAAGTAGTACATTAGAGAGTATGAATCAATATCTGGGTTTTTTGTATTTGCCGGAACGGAACATATAGCTTAGTTGTTTTTTTATAAGACATATAGCTTAGTTGTTGTTTGGGTAGTTGATTGGTCCTGTACTGTTTTTGCGCCATCTTGGTACGTATTTAATAAAAACCCTACCTTATCAAAAAAAAGGTCACACTGCTAATGAGGGGACATCTAGGCAACTAAAGACTTTTAAAAGTTAAAGCTTGATAGGTAAAAATATGTGTCTATTTGTGCCAAAACAAGTCTATATTGAGATACTTCATAGAGTTTTTGCATGAATATTAATTGTTGTGTCCAACTCTTGCAAGGATTTATGAGAAGTAAACTAACAGATGAAAGGACAAGTTTGATGAATATTCCAAGCTGAAGATAAGAATGTGACCAACTGCTGCTGCTGATGGATTTAGACCGCTGCAGCACCCTCAACTTCAAGAAGATAAATGACTTTCCAGGGAGTGAGTTAAAGAAAGAATGCCTGCTGCAGTGCATAGATGAGCTGGAACAGCCACTGCTGCAGAGGCTTTTATACTGCTGCAGTGCCTCATATTTAAAGAAAAGTCGCATCATCGAGTGGTGAACTGGAAAGGAAGACCACTGCAAGCTGCAGCGCTCCTGACACAAGCTTGCCAGCCGCTGCAGCGGCCTCATAGTCATCAGCTGCAGCACTTGAGCAGAAAGTTCCGTACCAAGAGTATAACCCACTAAACCCAGCTGCTGCAGCGGCCAGTTTGGCATCCGCTCCAGAGCCCCTGGACGCTGATGCAATTACTCAGACGCAATTCTAGTCAATTTTTTTTTTTGTTGGGGGAAGGGGGGGGNGAAAAAGTGCAGATCTGTGAAACTTTTCATCAGATCTTTCTTCTTCTCATGACCTTTTCCATATCTATTTATGTATTCTGTATTTGAACTCCACTATGGAGTAAATCTTTTTGTTGGGATTTTGATGGATCTTAATGTTTTAAAGTAAGGTTTAATTAGTGTTGGCAAAAGGCTCACTTAAAGCATGCTTAATCCCTGAAGCTCGGTGAAACCGCAAGTTGTGTGCTTTGCCTCACTTAGTTAGCCCTTTAGTATCGGCCAAGGTGCTAAGGAGTGCACCTCTTCACGGACTCTTTTTGAGTGCACAACACTGGAACATAAATATAGTTGAAAAATTCATATATAAATTGTTAAGAAAACCCTTTGCCGAACTTCTAGTTATTAGGAACAAGAAATTAGAGCTCTCCGAGGAAAAATTTAAGAAAGAACATTTCTCAAATTAGGAATAAGAAATTCGAAATTTAGAATAAGAAACCTATCCACTAAAAACTTAAAACTACATCTTTTCTTCTAAATCAAAATTTGAAATGGTCTTTGAACTTGATTGACATGAGTTTTACTTCATATATGTAACTTCATTGTAGTTCTTTTTCATTCTTTTGCTCAAAAAAGTACCATTTGTTCTATACTCTATAGTTACATTTTGCAGCATTGCATTTCTATTCATTATTCTTTTCATAAGCACTTTGCACTATTGCCTACGCTTTAACTTTGTTTTGCACTTAACCCCCGGCGTTTCTCACTTTTGACTACTCTGAGTTTAATCTTTTCATTCTTCATTCATGCTTGTATGAATTGACGTATCATTTACAAATCCATTAATGATTTTGGTAAGGGCATACAACAACAACAACCCAATAAAATTTCACTAGTGGGGTCTGGGGAGGGTAGAGTGTACGCAGACATTACCCCTAAACCGGAGGGGAAAAGAGGTTGTTTCTGGGAGACCCTCAACTCAGAGACAATAGATCCGTAACAACAACAGAAACCAGACAAATAATATCAACACCGTAAGAGACAGCAAATAAGTGGAAGGGCAATATTAATGATAATAATAGTAAAAATTAAAAATACAAATAAAGATAATGTGATGAAACAAAAACCGCTAGCAGTCCTAGACAAAACACTATTAGACTAGCCGGAACAACAAGAAAAACGCTCGACTACCTCCTAACTTACAACCCTAATGCTCGACCTCCACACCTTCCTATCAAGGGCCATGTCCTCGGAAATCTGAAGCAGCGTCATGTCCTGCCTGATCACCTCGCCCCAATACTTCTTAGGCTGCCCTCTACCTCCTCGTACCTGCCAAAGCCAACCGCTCACACCTCCTAACCGGTGCATCTAGGCTCCTCCTTTGCACGTGCCCGAACCATCTAAGCCTCGCTTCCCGCATCTTGTAGTCCATGGGAGCCCCGGCCCTTAGTAATTAGGGTTTGCGATACTTAATTATGAAGTATGTTAATTCTAATTGAAAGAGGAAAACTAATCGAATTTTCATATGGATCTACCACATCATGATTTCCTTTTCCACTAGATCTTAACCAAAAGGGAACGACCGAACGAGTAAATGAATCTAATTGTGATAGTTAAGATAACCAATAGAAGTCTTGTAAAATTCTATAAACCCAACCAATTGATAAAGCTTTTAATGCATTACAAGAATTCAACTAGATGCATAACCGCAAGGAGTTACTTAACTAGATAACTCGTAATAGTTGAATGTAATTGAGAGAGGCATTCATATCAAAGTAAGCTTACTTTCAAACATCAAGTGAAATCAAGATCCCAACCTTGTCTTCATCACATCAATGTTTTCTCATCATTCAAACTTCCCTTTCCAAGTATTCTACTACTTATTTAGTATAGTTCGCTTAGTTGTAGGAAAAGAACTACCATAAAATTGATTTCTCATATAGTAGTTAAGCATACCTATTTTGTTCCGTAAAGAAGCCAATCACGTGGGATGACAATTTGACTTGTTATGAAAGAATCTAATCATCCAACCCAAAGCATAAAGGCAATGGGTGAAAGAGCTCAAGATCATTATAAACCCCGAAACCCTTACACGTTCAATAAGGGACAAATACAACATTTTTTAACACTACATGGATTATTTTTTGTGGCCTTCTTCCGGAGAGAGAGGGAGAGAGAGAGGAGGTTCAATAGGAGTGAGCCAAGAGTCGAGGCAAAGATTAGGCTTGACAAGTTAATGAGTGAACCTACAGTAATATTAGTGGCTCGATGGGTTGAATTGAGAGAGAGGAATCTTGAGCAACTCCACGGCCTAAACTGAGAGAAAGAGAAGCCTAGAGCAATAGAAAATAAAGAGAGAAAGCGGTTGTGAAACAAGCTCACCAATGTTTTGCTCTGATACCAAGTAAAAGAATCCAAACATCCAACTCAACGACTTAAGGCAATAAGTGGAGTAACTCAAGATCATTATAAACCCCTTTGGAAAGTGGAAATTTGTACACAACCTACGAGAGACAAGTGTAGCATTCTCTATCAATTACAAATTCATTTTAAGTTTGGTTAGGTACATATCAAGGCTACCGCTATAAGGTAACAACCACCAAATAAAGTGAGAATTTTCAGGGACATGGATAAAGCCTTACAGGAGTGCAATAAAAAGAAAAAAGTGTTAATCGAGTAACCTAGAGCCAAAACTTTACAACAATACAACTAGCAATACACAGTAATAGCTGATTAGAAATTCTTGAGATGGATAGTGGCATTATATCACCACTCCACCTCAAGGGTACTCCATGATAATGTATATGTGGGTTTTTAAAAATAAAGATCATATAGCATAAATAACCATAAATGTGGTTAACAAGAGAAAAGGAAAAAAGTAATGAACGTGAAACAAATTAACACGAAGAGGTAGCATAAATTTAACAAATTTGTGTGAATGATTGAATGAACATCTACTACACAAAAGAAAGAAAGTAAAAGAAAAACAAAAGGTGGAGACTTAACAGTCCACATGAATGAAGTATTAAAGCATCAATTTTGACGGGTTTAGAAGCTTACTGTAAGAGCAAGAAGTTGGACTTTGGGATTCTTACTACCAAGACGCCTTTTTATTCCTTTCACCACATCTTTGGCTTGCCTGGTAACCCCAAAAAGAACATAAAAGCAGTATCAACTTTAATACCCATATCATCAAGCCAATAACAAGAGAAGAAAAATTAAAAAGGACCAATGGAAAATTTTTGTTAACACTACTACATGATGCGATTGCAATCTAGTTCATTGGATTTCTATTTAATGTTTTTCTTTTATATCATATTATTAATAATAGAAGCACCACAGATGTGCAATATTGCAGAAATTATATACAAGAGGTCTAAAACCATAATAGGTAAGGGTATATCATATTATTAATAATAAGTACCACAGACGTGCAATATTGCAGAAATTATACACAAAAGGTCTAAAAACCACACCGCCAGTTATGCAAAAGAGCTAAGAAAATCTAACATTTGTTTTACGCCATTTAAGGATTCATATTTTTACCAGCAAAGAAAAATTTCAACCACCAGAACCTGAGTTGATAGCCAAGAGGTACATCACTTTCAAAGCATCTTCTACTCCTTTCTCATCCACAATACCCAGATTTCCATTTAATGTATGTAAAATTAATCCTCAATCTGAGTGATGAAATTATCAACTGTGAATATGAGGTGTACTTCTCCGGAGCCAGAAAAAGCCATCAAATCATGGAATATATGTGCTGCACATATTGCTGAAAGGACAGATTCTAAACCACTTTGACAGGCTGCATCGTCAGATGCAATCAAAAAAAAATCCTTTTTTCTTTTTCTTGTTAGATTGTAAGTTTGTCAGATCCACTCATTTTACAAGGCGTACTCAAGATTAAACGAATGCTCTTAATCAAGGTAGTCCACCTAGTTTAGCTTACTGAAAATTGAAACTGAAACTCCAACAAAACAGCAGATGAAAGAACATAATAAGCCAGACTGCTCGTAGCTTTACTTCTGAATCTCAAATTAAATCTGCCCGCTGTTGACCAAGAGAACAGCCTAAATATGCATACTCTCAAGATAGCCAAATAGACAGATATACACTTCCTTTAGAAGAATGTAAGCAAAAATATTATTACTGCAAAAGTTAGATCAGCACTAAAAAAGTGCAGATGTGTACAAAAGTTGATGTTCCATTTACAAAAAGGTTCAAGCTGATAAAGAGCTAATAAAGTCTTATCATATCCTCTTTACCATATGCATTATATAATTTATACCAGAAAGCTAACAGAAATAGGCATCTATATTTTAGCATATGTACCGGCAAAGCTCTCGGTTTGTTTTTTCTTTTTTAATCAGGTACAGTCCAAGCCCTCCCTTCAAAACACCCTAATTCCTTTCTGTCCATACTACCAAAGTACCAAGCAAGACAGGTATATAGACGCTTTTAACACACTGCATAATGTTTAACCCTTGAAGTTGTACGTTCCAGGAATCTTTGATCAACTTAACATTTACATATTTGCCTCCTCATAACATTGGCGTAGAAGTAATTAAACTTGACAAGGAATAAATAAGATAATATACAAAACTCCTCATTTAAAAAACTATAACTTTCAGATAATATAACTTTAAACCTCAGATGGATCCATCGACAAGCAACATCTCCCTGAATACAATTGTAACATGAAACCAAACTGCTTTTGACTTTCTTGAAACAGTGTTAGAGAAAGCGCTCGCTTCCTCGCTTTAAGCGAGAAGCGATGCGAAGCGACTCAGTGCCCACTTCCCCCATGTGAAGCGACTCAGGTAGAAAAAAGCGACCGCTTCCCACTAAAAAGCGAGAAGCGACCAAGCGAAGCGATGCGAAGGAAGCGACCGCTTCTTTGTTTTAAAGAGAAGCCAGGCAATTTAATTAAAAACGAATTTCAGTGTCTTTTATTAAACGAAGGGAGTCTAAAAGGCGACTAGGGTTCTTCTTCTTCTTCAACTTCAACTTCAAGTTCAAGTCTTCAACAGCAAGAGGTATGTTCTGATTTTCCTTCTTCTTCTTCTTCTTCTTCTTCTTCTTCTTCTTCTTCTTCTTCTTTTTCTTTTTCTTTTTCTTTTTCTTTTTCTTTCACTGTTTCAACGTCCAAATAGCAATGAAATGCTAGCGAATTTTTTTTTACCTTCGGTTCTTTCTTTCTAAGTCTTCTCCTCTTCGTTGAGTTTTTCTTTCATTGTTTTTATGCTCATTTTGTGCTGTAATTGATGCTACTCTTTAGTTTTTACATTGAAGTATTGAACATTTGCTTACAGTTACATGTGTTGTCTATGCAATATTTATTTTAATTTTTTTTTTAAAATTCCGCTTCACTTCAAAAAAAGCGAGCGCTTCGCTTCTCGCTTTAAGCGAAATGGGGGTTGTCGCTTTCCTCGCTTCACGCTCTTCACAACACTGTCTTGAAAACTAAAATTCAGAATCTCCAGCTGCCACAACCAGCATTATTATACCTCCTAAAGACATGATGAGAATACATGCAGGGACTTCTTCACGAATTCTTGAAATCAGGAGTTATCTATTTTTTATTATGTAAATTGAAATTACGTCAATAAACCTAGAGTACAAGCAGTTTGGTCCCAGAAGATCATTCTATCTAGCAGGAGCTAATAACACAATCCTTCACTTACTTTTTTGCATAATATCCCTAGTACTCTCCCTGACTTCTTAACCAAACAGGACTTAGTCTAATCAATCACCTCATCAACTTAACAGTTTCTTCAAGAAATTCTCAACACAATTATTATTAGTTTTTTTTTTTTTTGGTAAATAGGACATTTGCCATTATACTATACATTTAACTCAACGAGCAACTACTTAAGTACTACATTTAACTTCATAATCCAGTTCTAAATCATCCACAGTTAGTGTCAACTCTCTGGTGATTAATAAATCTCAAATCACATAAACTAAAAATAAAATAAAAATAAAAGATAAAAAGAGGCAAAAGTTTTAATATACGCAAAATCATAGATTAAATAGAAGCATCATACGCGGGATCGTGATTGCAAATATCGCAGATCTCGAGATTCATAGCCCAATCAGGACCTATGAGCATGTCGCTCGTTGCTCTTTCCACCATTGCATTGACCATCCTTATTTACTTCTATTCACCTCGAACCAAAAATCTTCGGCTGTCTCCGATCAAAATCACCGGTCAACTCCCCGGCGATATTGCGAGAAAGATTCGCCGGCGAGATTTTCAATCTCCACGCGAATCCCTGAGTTTACGAATCAAACAGTTTTCTAGAATCACACGGCTCTCTCTCTCTCTCACTCACTTTCTCTCTCTTCACTGTGTTCGCTCCTTTTTCTTTTTCTTCCTAGCCTAATTTGGTTGGCTTTTTAATCCATTTCAAAAAGATCAATACATTCCTATTTTTAAAAATTCTTAATATTTGCATTTCTATTTTATCTTAAGGAGATATAAGTGCAGGGATGATTTTTTGTGAAACCTACTATAAATTATTTTTGATATTATATATATTTAATGTTTGATAATGTTACTATCAAAGTCAATATGTGCTTACTCTCTATTCAGTGTGTGCTCACTGCTCACCTAATATCATCTTCTATTTAAATGTGCTTACATTCTATTAGTTATTTTGGCTGCAAATTTATTATTTCACTACATAAGTACTACTAAATAATTTTCTTCATCAAATTTAAATAGATAGTAATAGAGTTGAGGGCTAGCTAACTTTGGTAAGTTTTATACCTCATAGTTGAGGTGGAGGGTTCATAGCATTTCCTTCCATTTTTCCTCCCCTCCTTTGATATACTACCTCCGTTTAAGAAATGAGATAAAATTTTTGAACTTGCGGCGTAAAATGAAGTACATATATTTTGTGTGGGTATAAATCATTGCATAAAGGTAAATTATTTTTAAATAGAGAAAGGGGTCATTCTTTTTTGCACGGACTAAAAAAGAAATAAATTGACATAAATTGAAACGGAAAGAGTAATTAATAATAAATCATCTGAATTTTTTTAATGTAAATATAATATACGCCTTTTTTTAAATTTTGTGCTTAGGATGTCAAATAAATTAGGGTGGGAAAAAAGTTATTAATACAGCAAAAAGGAAAAATTAAGGAATGGAAGACTTTTTAAAAAAGGCATGGAAGAGGCCAAATAGAAGAAAAGGCCAGTAAAGTTCATCTATGTCATGGAATTATTTACTTTGCGTCAGTGGCCGTAAGTTCGGCCGACATTTTTTGATCGGACGGTAAGAACTTGCTTGATAAAGATTCTTCATTGGAAGTGGTCGCGTCACCATCGCATTATTATGCAGCTTTTATAATTGGAAATATTAACTAATAAACCCCTGTGGTTTTTTGGAAATTGTGAAGAAGTCCACGTAGTTTGTAGATACGTACCATTTGGATCTTGTAAAATACTAGAAGGAATTTCTGCTTTTTTTACTCCTTGTCAAGCAGTAAGAATGTTAACACTCTTTTTATGACACAATTAGAAACTAACAGCATCTGAACACACTACTAGTACTAGTTAAAACCAACATTTAAGTTAGACACGTACTCAAAGCGTCATTTGACATTAATACTTGGGCATGTCATATTATTATGCGTTTTGGAGTGCTCGATTTGTCATTTAATTTATGACTACAGTATCTCATAAGTAATTTTTATTTATCGGCCAAGATAAATCATACTATATATTATTGGACATTGGTTTCCAACTTTTTAAAAGAATCTATCAATTTATATTCAGACTTGGTCATCTTTTGCAGAGCAATTTGTATATTATTGGCTTCACAGAAATTCTCCTTTTCCCTATCTTCCATTTTCTTACGTTCTTTCTTCTTCTTTTCATACGTCGAACATAAAATTTATTGATTTTTTATAGAGTTGATACCCTAAAATCTCATAAATTATCACGTTTTTGTCCATATATTACTTAAACTATTCAGTGTCTCTAAACCAACCCCACAATAACTATATTTTTCTTTATATTAAAACCCCCTCATTTTATTCTTAGAGGTGTGTTTAGTACATGCTCCTAATTATCTAAAAGACAAGTCATGTGGCACTACACGTGGCTATTTAACTCACCCTAACCCCTCCCCTCCTCCCCCATCCCCAAACTATCACTTTCTTATCAGATACCTATTTAAACTATTTGGTATCCCCAAAACCTCGTGAACTATATTCCCCTATATATTAAAACCTCGTGCTGAATTTTTTGAGGTACGTCCGTCTAACTATATTAACTTATAGTTTGTACTAAGTTTTTTATGAGCTTACTCATGATATATTACTCTCGGATGACTGATTAATTCTTGAAGCTTTGGCCAAAATAGTATCTAGTGCAATTTGTTAATTTTAGTCTTAATTGTGGTTGTGCTTTATGCTAAACTCCAATTGAAATAAGTCATTATTTACATTCATTTTGTAGTACGATAAAAAATAAATGAAGGCATGTAGTGTTACATTTCTAAATCATCTTATATTACATAAACAAAATTATGCAAAATAAAATTTCGCAAATTAGAAATCAATTGGGCAGCAACTACATTCTCTAATTCTAGATTACACATACAAAGTTAAAGAGATTCAACTTTATTCCCTACAAGGTGTTAGATTTAATAAGAAAATTTAAATGAGTATTATTTCAATAATATGTGTAAAACAGAAAGAAGACTAAAACAAGAAAGAGAATAAGTCAATTCGGAGGAAAAAGCGGAGGGAATTTTTTTCCCAGAGGGAACCCTTATTGAGAACTAAAGAAAAAAAGTGATATGTATATATATATATATATATATTAAATGAAGAAAGTTACCATATATAATTGGCATTGTGGTTAAGCCAGGTGGCAAGCTAATAAATGTCAATAGTATATGGTAACTTTATTCTATATTTGACTATGTTAGTCANCTATCTTTTGTTATCATGTTATCATACTTAATTCGGTTAATTATCATATGCAATCATATTAGAAAATTTTGTTATCTTAAATCAAATTATTTAAATACTACTTCGCCTCCAGCAAAAAAAAAAAAAAAATATAC